CCGCTGCACACACGGGCCACATTTTCTTCGCCCACTCGCACTGACGGGCATGAGGGCAGCTATTCCCCATGTGCAGGGCGACGGGTAACAACTTCAAAGGTATGTGTCTACGTACAAATGAAAATGTGCACCATGCATAAAGCACCCGGCGTGCACTCAGACTGGCCCTCCAGGAGGGGGGCCTCGAAACTGGGGCCGGCGCCGTGGCTTCCCGGGGGCTCGGGGCTGACCTGCTAGTGATGCCCCTCTGTCCTGGTGCCTGGGCTGGCTGCTCCAGCATCATCCGGCCAAAAATACTCCCTAATCGGTCCGGCTGAGCTGCTGCTGCTGCCCAAGATAAGCAGGGCACGCTGTGGCTCCCGGCAGTGATTTCTGTGCTATTTTTATACTCGGTTAGGATAAGGTCTCTGGTGCCCTGTGCCCAAGGTCATTCTGTGGGGCCCCAGGGAGGCAGTGCCTTGCCCCAGGTTCACATTCCTTCTGGGGAAGTGGGTTCTGGGAGCTGAACAGAGAGGCATCCTGGGTGTACACAGCAGGACTGGTCAAAGGGACCCCAGCTCCGAGGAGGAAGGGGGCCACTCCTGAGCCCTCCAACCCTTGGGTCCCAGCACCTGCCAGCACGGCCCTGCTGGTAACACCACTGGTTCCTGCAGGCACACGGGAGCCACATCTGGGGGTCCCGGCAAAAGATCCCCCAGATAAATGAGTTAAGCTGCCCAGCCTCCCCCCTGCCAAAGACCCCCAGAAAGTGAAGAAAGCTGCCTAGGCTGGCCCCCAGCCCTCTGAGGGGCAGCAGGTCAGCAAGGCAGCGAGGCTGGTCAGAGGCAGCCGCACAGGAGCAGATGTTCCCCGCCAAGGGGCTGGGCGCTGCATGGACTCCTCTGAGTGTCCTGGACTTGGGAACGCACGTCCCCAAGTGTGCAGGCCGAGGAGCAAGACTCGGGCATCCATCAAACAAGGCTGCAGACTGGCAGAGCGTCTCCTCAAGTTTTAAGTTTGAAATTTTGCTTGGCAAACTGAACCCAAATCCGCCTCTGTTTCTTTACTTTCTTCTTTTGTTTCATTAAGAGAAGAGAGAAGGGGAAATATATTTGATTGACAGTTTCTGAGATAACTCTCTTCGTCTAATTGCCTCATTGAAACCTTAAATATTTGGCTTGCATCATAAGAACAGTCGGGCTAATACGCGCTAAATTCACCGCTCTCAACGGAGAATGATTTCTCTGTGCAAACGCAAGTCACTAATTTCTATTTTCTCAGGGCGGTAAGTTAAAAGGACGTTTAAAAAATAAGCTTCCATTGCTGTTGAAGGACAGTGACCTCCACGGACCTCGAAAGGCAAAACCCACAACTGACACCAGGTCGATCTGCCCCAGCAACCAGCAACAGCTGGGTCCGTCCTAAGGACACACGTCGCAGGCCAGAGTTCCTCGGCGCGGCGCTCAGCGCCCACAAGGCCGGAGGAAAGTCTTTGAAAGGCCTAACTGCTCACTCTCTTTTCCAGGAGAAACGAGTATACATTTAAAAACCAGAAAACAAGATGTGTAGCTGCAGCTCCTGGCCACGAGGGAGGAGCTGCCCACAGTGGCCAGAGAAACAGAGGCTGGAGGCCATGGAAGGTGCCTGCACGGACAGAGGCGGCCGCCGCCCCCGCCTCCGCGCCCCGAACGCTGCCTCCAGGACGTCGCCAGACCAACGAAACCCGTGGAGATCGGTCCCGAGCGGAAGGAAGATGGTTCCCGGTGGAAACACCGCAACGCACAGCTCAGAGGACGCTGGCTCGGGGGGCAGGCGGCAGAGGCTGGTGCAGGGCAGACGCTGGGGTGACGGCCGTGGGAACAGCAGACCACACAGCTGGCAAGCTGACACAGGAAGGAAATGGACTAATACTAATAAAATTAATCCAAAATAAGAAAAAAAGAAGAAGACACGTGCGCTCGTACTAACCGGAGGACCGTGGCAGACCAGGCCTCGAACCCGCGCCCTGGTGATGGCCCCACTTCGCCAACAGCGCAGAACTGCGGAGAAGCGGACTACCCCAGGGAACAGCTGGAGAGTCAAGATGCCTCGCGCCGGAACTGGTGAATCCAATCACTAGAGACAAAGACGATTTGAACAACACGTGAGCAGGACTGAGCTAATGGTCGGCTATGTGGAAACGCACCCAGCCGCTGCCCAGCCCGACTCCGCACCACAAGGCCAAGAGAGGAGCTTTGACAGCTGGAAATGAAGCGGAGAGCGGCCACGGAGAGCGGCCACGGAGAGTGGCCACAGAGGGCAGCCACAGAGAACAGCCATGGAGAGATGACAGGGAATCCTTGGGCCGGGGAAACCGCACAACAGGTCAAGAAACCCACGGGAAGAATGAGCCGTGATCGGAGTGAGATAACGTTTTGAACTAGTGAGGGTGTGTGTGTGAATTCTTTTTAATTCTATGACTTTTATATAGAAAAATCGCTTCATGGGTTGTGGGAAGTAAAAATGTTCCTCTTTAAAGTTTCCTTTCTTGTTAAAGAATAAATCATAAGTGTGCTAATAGCTTTTTGCTAAGCTCTACGTTATGTAGCTGTTAGACGTACTGTGCTTACAGGCACGTAGTACATTCTCTGTCCTTGCATTTTAACCAAGATGTCTGTCCTGGACGTGCTCACAGGCATGTCCCAGCTCTCCATTGCCTTTACCTGTTTAGAAAAATTTTAAGTAATTAGCCAATCGTTTAGTTTTAAATTTGTGAGGTCTGGCTCCAGCCAACAGAGATCAGACACAGCAGTAAGGACGACCCCAAATGCATAAGGGATAAATCTGTCTGCTTTCCTTTGTTCATTGCACTCTCGTGGCACCATGGCTCGCCAGGGGCCCCTTCCTGCCATCCAGGAAGTAAAAATTGCGACGCTAAAAGATCCTTTGTCTCAGTGCTTGTTTTCAACACAGGTAAAAACAAGCAAAGTCAAATGGCACACCTTAATTTTAATATTTTCTTGCTAAATAATACATAATGTTATCTTAGTGTTTTCACGGAATCTGCTGTCCTGTCACCATGTTAGAAACTGTCCTGCAGGAAATGCCCCTGCTCTCAGTGGTTTTGGAAAGGTTAGCTAGGGTAGGAGGCTCTTCTAATTTATTTATCACTTTGACTAATTGGATTCCAATTACTTTGGATAGATGGTAAAATATAAAATGTATCAAACATGGTTAAAATGTCTGTATGGGTTGGGCATGGTGGCTCACACCTGTCATCCCAGCATTTGGGGAGGCTGAGGCTGGTGTATCACTTGAGGCCAGAAGTTGAAGACAGCCTGGCCAACATGGCAAAACCACGTCTCTACTAAAGATACAAAAATTAGCTGGACATGGTGGCACACACCTGTAATCCCAGCTACTTGGAGGCTGAGAAAGGAGAATTGCTTGAACCTGGGAGGCGGGAGGTCACAGTGAGCCAAGATCACATCACTGCACTCCAGCCTGGGCGATTCCGTCTCAAAAAAAAAAAAAAAAAAAAAAAAAAAAAAAATCTATCCGCTTGCATCGTTATATCTTCATTAATTTAATTGTTAATGCTTCCAAAAAGTCACCCATGTTACTAAGCTAATTCTTAGCAATATACACATAGTATATTAACACACTATTAACCCATGAATTCACCTATTCTTTTTATTTTTTTTTATTTATTTTTTTTTATTTTTATTTATTTTTTTTTTTGAGACAGTGTTTCACTCTTGTTACCCAGGCTGGAGTGCAATGGCGCGATCTCGGCTCACCGCAACCTCCACCTCCTGGGTTCAGGCAATTCTCCTGCCTCAGCCTCCTGAGTAGCTGGGATTACAGGCACGCGCCACCATGCCCAGCTAATTTTTTGTATTTTTAGTAGAGACGGGGTTTCACCATGTTGACCAGGATGGTCTCGATCTCTTGACCTCGTGATCCACCCACCTCGGCCTCCCAAAGTGCTGGGATTACAGGCTTGAGCCACCGCGCCCGGCCTCTTTTTATTTATTTTATTTTATTTTATTTTATTTTCTTGAGACAGAGTCTCACTCCATGCTGGAGTGTAGTGGTGTAATCTCAGCTCACTGCAGCCTCTACTTCCCAGGTTCAAGTGATTCTCCTGCCTCAGCCTCCCAAGTACCTGGGACTACAGGCATGTGCCACCATTCCCGGCTAATTTTTGTTTTTTTCAGTAGAGATGGAGTTTCACGGTGTTGGCCAGGATGGTCTCAATCTCCCAAACTCAGGTGATGTGTCTGTCCTGGCCTCCCAAAGTGCTGGGATTACAGACGCGAGCCACCGCGCCCAGCCCCTACCTATTCTTTTTAATGTTTAATGTAATTGAGATGTTACTCACTTTTTAAAACATTTTAAAGTGTTTAGTATTTCTCTTCCAGTTTGGTTTTGGTTTTTAACTTTTAAGTCCAGGGGAACATGTGCAGTGCTGTTATGCAGGTAAGTTGGTGTCATGGGGGTTTGTGGTACAGATGATTTCATCACCCAGGTATTGAACCCAGCACCTCTCGTGTGTCTGGGTTTAGTGGCAGTGACCACCAGTCATCTTTCCTGCTCCTCTCCCTCCTCCCACCCTCCACCCTCAAGTGGTTCCCAGGGTGTGTGGGTCCCCTCTGTGTGTCCACAGGTTCTCATCACTTAGCTCCCACTTGTGAGAACATGTGGAATTTGGTTTTCTTTTGAACCAAATTATAATGAAAATATAACCTATCAAAACCCTAAGACGCAGCTGAAACTGTGCTTAAGGGAAAAGTCACCCCTGTAGATCCTGCAAATGTACAAAGATAGCGGAGGGGGTTCAACTGGGGTCCCCACAGGGGAAGTTGATGTCCTGGCACGGGTATCTGTGAATGGCCCTGGCTGGGTGGTAGACGAGGTCACCCCGGAGGAGGGTGGGCTCTCACTCCGGTGACTAATGTCCTTCTATGGAGAGGAGAAAAGGGCAAGGGCCACAGCGACAGGCATGTGACCATGTGACCACAGACCCAGGGACGGCTGGAGCCACTGAAGCTGGACGCGGCAGGAGCCTCCGGGGCGTGCAGCCCTGCCCACACCTGGACCTCAGCTTCCCGTTCTCCGCCGCGGAGGGAGAAGGCGTATCTGTGAAGCCACATTCTCTGGGAAACGAAGCCTATCAAAATCCAGAAAGAGGCCCTGAATAGTGCTGTGTCTCATGGGGATCAAATCCTCGACTTGACCTTGCCTCCCCCACCTAAACCTTCCAGGCCGGACAGACTCACTGGTAAGTTTTCAAACACTGAGAGAAGGAATGACAGTGGTTACACTGAAGCCTCCAGAGAATCTTTTACAAGAAGTAAGCTCGCACAACTCCTGTTATCAAATTATCGCTGTCGTCCAGGACGGGAGGATGAAGCCCGGCCCAGCTGCCCCGCACCCCACACGAGCGCCCGAGCGCAGCTAAGAGTCTTCACGTCGGGGTGGTGACGCGCGTGACCTCTAGCTGTTCCAGAGGCAGCAAAGGTAGGATGTGTCTCCTTAGCTTCTCACGCCACGCACTCGGCAAGTTCACGTAGGAAAGGGATCCCGTCCTTCAGGAAGGCCGGAAGCAGGCGTGGCGGGGAGGTGGGGGCCAGAGGAGCCACCTGGCCCCATTCCCATTCCCGCCCCGCCCCCACCCCTGCACCTGTGGTCTCAACCTGGCAGGAAGTCCCCTCCAGCTCCTATGGGATCAGGGTTGCTGGACGCCAGTTGACAGGTAAAGTCCTGCTGATTTGCAGCAGAAGAACCAAACCCCAGGACTGGAGCGCTCACGGGGTAGTCAGGCCCTGTGGAAACCTGGCATTCTCGCTGCAGAAAATGAAGCCAGATTCAAACAAAAGCCACAAGCAATGCACAGAGGCAGGGCGGGACATCTCACGCAGACCCAGGGACTCTGGAGCACCCTCGTCACAGATGGAGCACCCAATAGGGGGCTTTCCTTCCTCATCTGGTTGATGGAAGATTCTAGAACTCACCTTCTGAGAGGGAGGAATAGCGCTGCCCAGCCCCCAGCACACCCAGACCACTGGGGCTCAGAAAATATTTGATGAACAGTGGACTCGGCAGGAGCGGTGGCCAGCGAGACTGGTACTGAGCAGGTGGGCCATGGGCCTTCGGGTCTGCCGTGTGCCTACCAGTCCTGACAGGCTGCAGAGGCTGCAGCAGAGTGTGTGTGTGTGCGTGCATGTGTGTGTGCATGTATGTGTGTGTGACTTGTGTGTGCATGTGCATTATGTGTGTGCGTGTGTGTGCATGTGTGCGTTACGTGTGTGCATGTGTGTGTGCATGTATGGGTGCGCATGTGTACACTGTGTGAGCATGTATGTGTGTGCATGTGTGCATGTGTGTGCATGTGTGTGCGTGACTTGTGTGTGCATGTGCATTATGTGTGTGCATGCATGTGTTGTGTGTGCATATATGTGTGCATGTATGAGTGTGCATATGTGTACACTGTGAGCATGTGTGTGTACACTATGTGCATGTGTGTGCATTTATGTACGTGCGTGTGTGTGTGTGTGTGTGCGTGCACACACAAGTGGGAGTGGCCATAAGTGCCTGCCTGGTGTCCACACGGCCCCCAGCCTTTTCCTAGAAGGAATCACATGTTGCGTACACACGTATGTGCACACACATGCAGAAACCAGACCTACTTGCACCATCCACCCACACAAGCTGGGCCCTCAGTCACACTGCTCCCTTCCACGGGCTCCACCCCATGCCCGCCAAGCACACCTTCGGCTGATCTCTGCTTTCAGCTTGCACACACTGCTGCCCCCTGCGCAGCTCGGGGGGACTCCTGGGATCCCAAGTCCTGTGGCCTCAAGAAGCCCATCTCCTCAAACTCCAATCACAGCTGCTGCCCCGGGCCTGTCTCTCCTAGACACACAAGGGCACCCCTCCAAGAGGCCTCCCTCCGCCGCCAGCCTCTGCTGCCCGCCCCTCTGTCCATTCCCAAAGCTTGGGCTGCTGCAGGGAGCAACGCCGCCTCCAAGGGCAAGCCGGGGACGGGCAGGACGTTCAGGCGACACCCCCACCTGGAGGCCCAGTCTCACAGAGCCTCAGCAGCCACCCAAGGCAAGGAGGTGGCCACAGGGCCACCAGGAGTGCCACAGGGGACCCCAGGCCCACATGGGCCAGAGAAAGTTCTGGGCTTCCCCTGGTGTAAGGGACAGAACCGGGCGCCCTCCCCTCCCTGCCCCCTCAGCTTTCCTGGGACGGCAGGACCAGGACCAGGAAAGCCACAGTGTCCGAGGAGACAGGGTGGAGGGTGGCTCCAGGTGCCCGGCCAGGGCATCGGCTGACCCCCGAGAGATGAGCTCACTCAGGTGCCCCTGGCAGGGCTTCCAGAACCCTCACGTGGATGAACACGAGAACACCTGGGCCACCTGCTGTCTCACGGAGAAAGCCACAGCGGCCACTCTGGTGGGATATAGTTTCTGGACATGATTAAACCAGAAGAAAAGAAAAGATCCTGGCTGAGATTACGCACAGAAGCAGTTTGGGGCCAGGCTCTGGCACTGCTGCCCAAAACCTGGTGATTCAAACCCTGCTGCCGTCAGAGCTGGAAGCCTCGCGGTCCATTGTGTCCTGAGCGTGAGGCGGTCACCGACTCCTGGGCAAGCAGCCCGTGGGTCAGGGGTCAGAGCTCAAGGGACACCCTCTCCAGCCGGGGCAGCCGAAGCTACCTCTGCATTTTCCCCTGGAAGAGGCAGTTAAAAAAACCCAAGAAGCTTTGCTATCACCTCCGTGACTTTATTTCTGGATGTGGTTCGGAAGATCGGAGGAGAATCACCCAGGATCGCACCTGTTTGGTTTACAGGAGTCTTAGCTGTGGGTCCCCTTTTCCACTGCCCCCATCAAGTGGCCTCCTGGGTAGCCCGGGACCCTCCAGAATCTTCCAGAAACCACCGCACTGCTTTAGTCGTGCCTGCCGGACCCCACCGGGCGAGGCTGTTGGGAGGAGACACTCTCAGGTCGAGAGACCTGGGCAGGCTCCTCCTGTCTCGTCCCGAGCCGCCCTGTGAGGATGGGAAGACCCAGGTGCACCCGCATCTGCTTCTGGGCAGGGGAGCAGAGATGCTGCCTTCCCAGAGCTTGAGCTGTGGGAGGAAGAGGCTGAGCGAAAGCTCCTCCGCCCCGGGAGGGGAGGACCCTCGGGCCGCCTGCCCGCGGCCACACATGCCTGTCCCCCTGGCCTCCTTAGCCAAGGCAGCAGCAGGGAGGGAGGGTGGCTGCGTCCCTCCCTGTGCCTGCCCAGAGGGCGCCTCAGAAGCTTCCAGCAGACACACCTGACGCGTGCACGGAGCCCCTGCAGGGGAAGCCCAGCACTAAGGCAGGGGGCGGAGGGCAGCGGGGGGCCGGAAGCGGGCAGAGGAGGAGGCGGAGCTCAGCACGGCCCAGGCGGTCGGTCTCATTCCAGCCAAGGGGAGCAGCTGGGCCAGTCTGAAGGGGGCGATGGCCGGGGAAGCGGCGGGGATGGGGTCGGTTTAGGGACGGAGTGGAGCGGCCCAAGGGGCACCTGCCAGAACCTCACCTCGGAGGGTCACGGTCTGAGGGTCGCTGGGGGCCCACCTGGGAGGTGGGGTCACAGGACACAGGACAGGGAGGGGGTGGTGTTTCCAGGGTGAGGGCTGGGGGAGGGGAGCAAGGCCTGGACTGGTGGATGGAGACCTGAGTCAGACCGAAAGGGAGGCAGAGTCTCAGAGCTCAGCGCCCGCACTCACAGGGACGCGCAAGGACGCACTGGGACACGTGGCGACGTGCCCTCCCAGCCATGCTGCTCCTTGCCGCGAGTCACCTGGAGGCCGGGGCCTGGCGCCACCTTCAGACTGGGGGATTCCGGGGCCCCTCCTCCTCGTGGGGCTTTGGGGACCTCAGCAGGATGAAAGGTGTCGGGGAGGGAGCCGGTGTTGGTGCAACAGGCAGAAGTTTCCAGAAACTCAAGATTCTTCCCAATGCTGGCACCTGGGGCACACCGTCCTGCAGCGCCACTGCACTGTCGGAAGCAGGCACTGCCGTGGTGGTCACCACAAGCCCTGAGGACCCCGCAGAGGGCATGACCCAGGCAGCCTGGCCGTGGCCCCCTCTCCTGCTCCATGCTGGGGCCTCACCTGACCTCTCCGGGTCCCTAATCAGGCACTGGGGCCACCTGCCTTGGGCCCTGCAGAGGCCACCCTGGAGTGGCTGCTGGGACTGAGACCCTGAGCCAGATCAACCCCAAGGCTTGTCTGGGGTGGGTTCCCAGACCCTCGTCTAGGACTCGGGGAAGGGGCTCCGTTTGCGGCCTGTGCTCTGAACAGGCTCAGTGAGCAGCCTGATCCCTCCGGGAGGTGGGCAGTGCAGATTCCCATGGAGCCCAGCACCCTGACTGTGTACATGGCAAAGCTCACTGCGCCTGGTTCCGTCAGCAAGGGAACCACGGGGCACCCGAAGCACGGCGACTCCATGGTGAACAGGGCCTGAGTCAAACGAGGCTGAGACCTGCTGGGCCGCACTGCCAGGAGCTCAGGCCGTCTCAGTCACAGGGCGAGACGGGAGGTCGGCACCAGAGGCAGGCCCTGAAGACCTTGCGCGGTGAAGAAGCCATCCAATACCCACCGAAACCAGGCTGGCATGAGAGTGGCATCTGGTTGTCCCCACTGCTCATTACGCGCTGATTAGAACGCATTAGTTTGCTCAGAGACACTCCCACCAGCCCCACGGCAGTTCACGGAGGCCAAGGCCACGGCCGGAGGTGACCTCTGGTCTGAAAAGGGGAGGGACCCTCGGCTCTGGGAATTGAGTACCACTTTACCTGGAAAATTCATGGCTAATCACCCATTTAGCGCACAGTCAAGAAGTGACAGGAAGAATCCTGGGTCGGAGCCCAGGCGCCCGCTGCCCCGGAGCAGCCGCGCCTCCTCCCCTCACGTTCTTCACGCACCTGCTTTTGCGTTACGGCGGGCACTCGCCCCAGCTCTTTCGGGGTCTGGATTGGGACCCCTTCTGGTAACAGTCCCTTTTTTCTTTTCTTTTTTGAACTAAAACCCAGGCTGTTTTCTGTCCCTTCCCTTCCCTTCCAGGGGGCCTTCATGCGAGAGGAACCCTCGCCTGCCTTCTGGACCATTCCCGGGGCCAGCTCCCGCCACGGCTTCCTGAGACCACCCTCCTGTCCCCGGAACATCTCCCAGGCGTGCTCCGGCCCCTCCTAGGAGGCGTGTGCCAGGCCTGCCTCCGACTGCTGCAGCGTCCGAGGCCAAGGGCCGGGTCAGGGCTGCCGGATAAGACACGGCACTCAGCCCAGCGCAAATTTCGGGTAAATGACGATGAATTTTATTTTGATGTGGTGTGGCCCAAATATTGCTTCTGTTAAGAATTTTTTTTTTTTGAGATAGAGTCTCGCTCCTGTCATCTAGGCTAGAGTGCAGTGGTACGATCTCGGCTCACTGCAATGTCTACCTCCCAGGTTCAAGCGATTCTCCTGCCTCAGCCTCCCAAGTAGCTGGGATTACTGGCATATGTCACCATGCCTGGCTAATTTTTGTATTTTTAGTAGAGATGGGGTCTCACCATGTCGGTCAGGCTGGTCTCGAACTCTTGACCTCAAGTGATCACCAGCCTTAGCTTTCCAAAGTACTGAGATTACAGATGTGAGCCACCATGCCTGCCGCTTCTACTAAGAGTTGTGTTAATTTGAAACAAATTTAACGAGGTGCCCTTCACTGGGCCAGGGGTTGGGGGTCGCACGCATGGGCAAGAGGTCCACCCAGTCCCCTGACCTCAGGATCTTCAGACCTGAGGAGAGCCATGAGGCGCCCATCTTTCAGTCAACAGGACTAAGGCACCAGAGGCAAAGCGGACCCCAACTCAGTGCCGTCTAGGGTCAATTAGAGAACAATCCCAAACACTCGTTGGCCGCCGTGGCCGCTGCTGGTGGACGCGTGCTGGCCAGCGTGCTGGCTGGACGTCACCCAAGCACTGTCAGAGATGAGGCTGGATGCACGCCCTCGGTGAGACCCTCGGCTGCTTTACGTGAGCAGTGTTAGTGTAGACTCATACTGCTGCTGAGTCTCGGAGGCTGGGCTTGGGGCCAGCTCAGGAGCCCCGGAGGTTCTGAGACCCTGACCCAGCTCCCAACCCATACTTAACTTTCCGGGAAATCCCAGAGGAGCCCAGTTATCCCCCTGACCAACCGAGGCAGCAGCACTGGACGGGGTTGCGGAGCTGCAGCTGGAGGTAGGGGTGGGCTTTTGTTCTAACTGCTGTGCGGCCCCCCTGCTGACCTTCCCAGCACGTGGGCTGTGGAGAGAGGGGCTTGACTGTGCCGGCAAAGCTGCTCAGCCCAGCCAGACTCCCTGGCCCACCCCAGACCCACCCCAGACGGCCGGAGTCTAGAACGAGTCCAGCCTTCCCTCCAAAAGCCTCCTGGCCGATGCTCATGCTGTGGAGAACCGGACAGCTCTCCCAGCTCCAGCTCTGCAGTTCTGGGACAGCTACATGTTTCTAGCAAGCTAAAAAACTTGGCGAGGCGAGGTGGCTCACATCTGTAATCCTGCACTTTGGGAGACTGAGGGGGTGGCTCACCTGAGGTCAGGAGTTTGAGAACAGCCTCGCCAATATGGCAGAACCCCGTCTCTACTAAAAATACAAAAATTAGCTGGGCGTGGTGGCAAGCGCCAGTGATCCCAGATACTTGGGAAGCTGAGGCAGGAGAATCGCTTGAACCCAAGAAGCAGAGGTTGCAGTGAGCCAAGATGGTGCCACTGCACTCCGGCCTGGGCGACAAGAGCAAAACTCTGTTTAAAACAAACAAACAAATAAAAACCAAACTTTAACACCCATGAAGATGGCTACCATCAAAACAGGAGACAAGAAACGCTGTAAGGACGTGGGAATATGGGGACCTTGTTTTCTACTGGGGGCGTGCGTGTGGGTACCGCCAATATGGAAAACACAGTGGTAGTTCCTGGAAAAGCTAAGAATACAATTGTCCTGTGACCCGGCAATGCCGCTTCTGCATACGTGCTCAGAAGAACTGAAAGCAGGGTCGTGCACACCGTGACGACAGCAGCACCGTCCACAACGGCCAGGCGGCGGGACAGCCCGAGAGGCGGTGAGTGGGTAAAGCCGTGAACAGAACGTGGCCTGTCCACACAGCCAGGTATCATTCAGCCTTAAGAAGAAGGGCATTCGGACACAAGCGGCCGCAGGGGACAGCTGAGGACGGTGTGTTAAGTGGAATCAGCCAGTCACAAAAGGACAAAGACTGCAGGACCCCATGCCTAGGGGGTCGCTGGAGATGCCAGATCCTCAGGGTGCAATGCAGATGGCAGCACGGGCTGGGGAGGGCAGGAGAGGGCAGCAGAAGGGTGAGGAAGGGAAGGGGGGGAGGGAAGGGGAGAGAAAGGGAGGGCAGGGGAGGGCAGCGGAAGGGGTGATGGGAACAGGGGTCTGCTGGGTGGATGGGGGTCGGACGCCAGGGTGGCTGTGGTGTGGACATTCTGAATGCCACAGACTTGTCCACTTAAACGTGGTAAAACTTGTAAATGTTGCAGAATGTGTATGTTTGCCACAATAAAGAAAGAGAACTGAGCCGGGCACAGTGGCTCATGCCTGTTATCTCAGCACGTGGGGAGGTCGAGACCAGCCTGACCAACATGGAGAAACCCCATCTCTACTAAAAATAGAAAATTAGCCAGGCATGGTGGGTTATGCCTGCAATCCTAGCTACTTGGGAAGCTGAGGCAGGAGAGTCGCTTGAACCTGGGAGGCAGAGGCTGCAGCGATGGCGCCATTGCACTCCAGCCTGGGCAACAAGAGCAAAACTCCATCTAAGAAAAGAAAACAAGAAAACTTAAGCTCTATACTTGTACAACTGGGGCAGGAAGAGGTCAGGAGGTCAGCTGGCGGAGGGGGTCCCTGGGACGCTCACAGGCAGCGCTGGCACCCACTCTCCCACGGGTGCACACCCCTGAAGCTTTGTTAAGAGGCACAGACAGACCTAACTTCAGCCCCCACCAGTGGAGTCACCAGAGCTCCCACCACAGCCTCGGCCCCCAGGCTTCGGAGCAGCCTCAGTCTCCTCGGGGGAGGAAGGGCTGGCCCAGCAGCTCGCTGTGCGCTGGGGCTCCCTCCTGCCTACGAAAGCTTCTGCTCCCCTTTGCTGATACCTGAGGCTCAGATGCACCAGTGAGTGAGACTTCAGGACATCTGCTAACTTCAGCTCGGAGCCCTGACACCATGTGGCTACCTCAGTGAGACACTGACCTTCCTCCGCCGGGCGTGGTGGCTCACGCCTGTAATCCCAGCAGTTTGGGAAGCTGAGGTGGGCTGATCAATTGAGGTCAGGAGTTCGAGACGAGCCTGACCAACATGGTGAAAACCCCATCTCTACTAAAAATACAAAACTTAGCGGAGTGTGAAGGGTGCCTGTAATCACACCTACTTGGGAGGCTGAGGCAGGAGAATTACTTGAACCTGGGAGGACAAGGTAGCAGTGAGCCAAGATTACTCCACTGCACTCCAGCCTGGGTGACAGCAAGACTCGGTCTCAAACAAACAAATAAACGACAGTGACCTTCCTAAGCCTCGGTTTGTTCATCTGCAAGATGGGGATAAGTCGATGGAAGATGAAAGGAGCATCTGGAGAGACCACGGGGCCAGCCAGAACCTGACGAGTGAGGAAACGGAACAGATGCCTTTGCAGCCGTGTCTGTGAGATTGAGCAGGCAGAGGGAGTTCCGGGACCCCGGAAGTCAACCACACACAACTGTCATGCTGTTCCCAGAGCCTTGGACACATGCCTCAACACTAGACATTCCCGCTCCAGCCAGGTGCGCTCACCTGTGGGGGATGTGACCTGCGGCCCTCCCCCCCCAGCCCAGGGTGGCCATCGAGACACACGACACTAGTCCCAGGGCTGGAGTGGCCACAGGGCGCAGAGACAGAGAGCCCCAAAACAAGTGTAGGGGAGTGCTTCCTCCGCTCCGTCTCTGCAAGGTTGGACATGCGCAGAGTGATGCCACACGCAGCTTCAGGTGTCTGCACGACACATCACACGGGCTTCAGGTGTCTGCATGACACACCTGAATCGACAGTGAAAGAATTTTCCTAGAAAGACGAATGTCCCATCCAGGGTTTACCGAAGGCTCGGTTTAAGCCCCTCGCCATGAGAAGGGATGTGGGGAACACTCCCGTGTGAGACCCCCAAAAGGCGTGAGTCTCACTAGACGGTGAGTTTGATCCCAAACACAGTTTCCTACTGGAGGCAGTCGAGCTATCTGGAAATATAGGAACTGAAAGATGGATGATCAGTTTCTAATATCAACCACAATATCGTTTGGGCCTAAAACCATGCGTTGCTGCTAGACCGAGTGACCCCCTGCTGGCAACCAGTTCCTGCTTTTAACCTTTTTATGACTCTTTAAGAATAAGCCTTTAACCTAAACCTTACCTGACTGCCTTGTACCCTAGATAATGGTTTAACTGTCGATATTTGCAAAGCAAATGCCACCATAAGGGATGGCTTTGATTCCTGACTCAGAGATTCCTGAATGGGGAAGTTGAGTAAAGTTGAGTCAGGAGTAGACAAAGGAGAATCCGATTAAAAGATATTCTGATGAGCAAAACCAGAAAAACTTTTCACATCTCAGTCTAAAACAAGGTCAAACCAGAGATACCTGCAGCCAGGAGGAATAATGTTTGGATGCAAACAAGCTTTGTGAATAATGTTTGGATGTAAACAAGTTTTGTGAATAATGTTTGGATGTAAACAAGCTTTGTGATTACAGGAAATTCTGTTACTTTTTACAACCTCTGATTGCATATCTGACTTCTCTATTGTGTAGGCCATGCAAGGCATATATTTGCATTCCTCTTGCTATGACCAGAGGCCATAGAAAAACCAGAGCCAAGAAAGTGTATTTATTCCTGGCCTTTGAGAAATAAAATTTGCCGTTTAGGCACAGCCTATCAGCCCTCCAGACGCCTCGCTTTCTCTCTCTCTGTCTTTATTATTTTTCCAGGCGCACTCCCTCTTCCAGGTATTGGGACCCTCTTGCAGGTCGAGAGACCCCCAGGCAGACGTGCCTACCCGTCCCGGACGGTCCACGACAAAGGGAGGAACGCACCGGGTGTCTTTCAGAGGAGTGCAGTCAGTTTCACAGCTGGCGGGTTTTCCAAAAATATTTTCATCAGTGACAAACAGAGCCAGCTTGGGCTGCGTCGTCCCCACATCCAAGACTCACTCCCTGTTCCCTCACCCTCCCTGCTCATCCTTCAAATTCTCCGCAGAACATGGTGGTGGCGTCTGCCCTGCAGGGTGTGGGGTAAGCAGGGCACTGTCTCCAGGCCTGGGTCGGGTCCAGCGGACGCAGATGCACGGGCATAGCCCCTGATCCACACG